AATTCTTTTGCCTGTCTGATAGCTCATTTTCTGGGCTGATATGCGCTTTAGCTAGGACTTGTGGAGTTTTGGTTGTTCTCTTATAAATGTTTTTGCCTCCGTACACTACTAGAATTAGAACTGTTATGGACATGATGCATGAGATATGTGAAAGAAAGTTGGGATTTGCAGAACTCGAGGGGACAAAATCTGCATTCATAAATCATACAAAAAGAGGAAGAATTAAAGAGACCCAAAAAAGTGAGTTAAAAAAAAAGAAGGGCTTCAAAACAAAAAAAATTAAAGAGAAAAAATGAAGCTGGTGGGGACGACAGCCAAAGAAAGGCATTAATTAGCCCTATAAAAATAACATAAACATCTGTTTTCACATATGAGACATGAAAATGTAAGATTAAATTCAAATCCTAAAGTTCATAGAGCTCTCTTTTTTGTTTGATTTCTTCCTCCCTTTTGAGAATGGTCCACTAAATTCTCAAAGCAGATTTTCTCTGTTTCCTCTCTCTCTCTTTTAGCTTCCAAAATATTTCACTTTTGGCAGAAAATTCTTCTTGAAACATGCATATAGTTTTTATGCTAATTGTATAGTTTTTCAAGAGCTCTATTTCTCATCTTCAATTATTCTACTCTTAAACTTTTCATTCTCTCCGCACAAAGAGTTGTCCATATTTTTTTGTGAGAGATACATTAGAGTGTAGCTTTTTAGCTATTGCTTTAGTGCGAAATTTGTAAATCCACCTTAATGAGGTATTTCTTTGTATTGCTTATTTTTACATACAATTTGGATTTTTGTATTAAGGTGTGGGTACACCTTGGGTTGTAAGAAAACACAATTGGTTGAATTCTGAACTAGTAAAAAGGATCGTGGGTTTCTCGTTAGCCTAGGACAACAAAAGTGTAGATTGATTTGGTTCTCACCAGTAAGAGAGCCAGTACAATAAAATACCCAAGAAGGAGTCTTGAGGAGTGGAGTAGAGATTTCCAACTACTATTAAAATTCCTAGTTCATCTTTCACTCTACCCTTTAATTTGTGCATTTAAATTTCGTTTGATTTTTTGTTATTCTTAATTTTATTTTTAAAATATACAAGTTCGTAAGCAACCCTATTCACCCCCTCTAGTGTTTGCCATATCGATCCTACATTTGATTGTTAACTCATAAGGTGATTTACTATACCTTTAACGAGATGAAATTAAAATTACCAGCATCAAAACTATTTACCAGTAGGTTTCCATGCACTACAATTTTGTGGAACTTATTTTGGATGCTCATGAGTATCATTATAATGTTAAGAATAAATACGTTGTTAAGCAGTCGTAAGGCAAATTCTTCCATATCCACCTTGTAATGAAACCTAATTTTATAGGTTTGATAAAAAGAAATTAGATTCCTGAACTCTAAGCACTGTAATTTTAAAATTTCGCATCATGCTTAAAATTTTGAATTATGTTTTATTTAACTTGCTGTTAATTCCATTTACTTATTCATTTTATTAGATTGGGCATGCATATGTTAATATTTTCCAGTAATAGTGAAAGTGCTCATTTAAATAAAGGGATTTTTACTATTGATAAATTTAGTTATCAAAATGTGCGAAAAACATATACGTTTCTTTGATAGGGCGTAAAACTTACATTAATTTTTTTTTATTTTGTATTATAAACATTTTAGGGAGGAAATTCAATTTCCTTTGAACATATATGCTTGACCCTTTAATACCTTTGCAGGATGGTCTGGAACACCCACACGATTAAATTGGTGAAGAATCTAACGACACTTTGCTTCAGCACGTTTTAAACTATGACGGTGCAAGCTTTGAAGAACCCACTAGTGTAGTTTGGCAACTAGCAAAAACTCGAACACCCACTTTGAGCATTAAATCTGCAAGCCTAACCTTTATTGACTTCATATTTGTGGTGTCAAACTTGTTCGAGATCAACCCACAAGAATCCACGTGTTGGTGAGCCTAGCTTTGTGGCTTCGACGACGCTCGGTATCGGTTGAATAGAACTTAGGAGCGGATTAGGACCTTTTGTAACTAGTTCTTACTTGGTGAGATTGCTTGCTTTGTGAATTATTTGTTTGGTTGCTCGTATGCCTTGCTTGTTTACCATGGTGTGATTGTTTTCATTTTACAATCGTTGTTCATATTATTGATAAATTATTGGAAAATAGCATGCGGGTAGTATGAACAATTGTGTTATAATGTGATGAAGAAGCATGTTGGAAATGTAAATTGTTTATGCGTTGGTTTGACTGTGATTATGGAAGCTGTTGTTGTGATGGGATTATTGTATATGAAAGCATATATTAGCATCCATGTGTGTGAGATTTGGGAAAGTGGTGAGTTTTGGAAACATTATGAAGAAGGAATTGAGTGAGTGGGTGAATATCGCCCCAAGTAAAAATGGTCGGGGCTGATATGTCACTATTGGGTGTTGATACCTCGGGTAAAAATAGTCAAGGGTCAACGTGATGAGTCTAATTGGAAGGTAAATATTGGGGCCTTAAGTAGAAATGGTCAAGGGCCAATATCTTGCAAAGTCATCTAGGCCATGGGTAAGAATGGTATATGATTAACGAGCCAGTTGAGGCATTGGGTAAGAATGGTCTATTTGTATATGAAAGCATATATTAGCATCCATGTGTGTGAGATTTGGGAAAGTGGTGAGTTTTGGAAACATTAGGAAGATGGAATTGAGTGGGTGAATATCAAGGCCCCGAGTAAAAATGGTCGGGGGCTGATATGTCACTGTTGGGTGTTGAGACCTCGGGTAAAAATAGTCGAGGGTCAACGCGATGAGTCTAATTGGAAGGAAAATATTGGGGCCTTAAGTAGAAATGGTCAAGGGTCAATACCTTGCAAAGTCATCTAGGCCATAGGTACGAATGGTCTATAATTGACTAGCCAGTTGAGGCATTGGGTAAAAATGGTTAAGAGTTGAATGACAAGTTCTTTAGAGAGGTGTTGAGGCCATAGGTAAAAATAGTTAGAGGTCGATACGACTTGAAAGATTAAGTTTAAAAGGGATTGGATATGTAACACCTCACGTCATCAAGTTAAATTACTTTGAGTCAAGCATTCAAAGTTGTGCGACCAGCCAACTTTTGAGGACGAAAGCTTTTAAAGGTGGATAGATTGTACCGTCCTGCATTTCACATGTTAGTTTAACTTTAGAATGTGGTTGGTTTTTTATTTATTTCGTTGTGGTGAGTATAATTTGAAATCAATGCAACTTTGTTTGACCGAGAAGGAATATTCTGAGGCGGGCAAGGAAGGAAGAGGCGGGATATGTCTAGAGTGTAGAAAGCGAATCTTCTCATCTTTAAATGCCCTCTTATGCGTGAGACGATCTCGATTAAGCCAATGGGTTAGTAATGTTCTTCTCAATTGACTAGTTCAGTTTCAGGACTTCTCCTGAAGAATGACCAATGGAACCGACCGTATCAAAGTAGTGATCTCTTGGCATAGTTGAAACTTGATGTTGAAAGCATGTTATTCGTGTAGAAGCCCAAACTCTTAGACGAAGGTCAGATTCAGCAAACAAAAGGGTGGGTTAGCTTTCCCACCCTCCTTGCTTTCCTTAAAAAATGGAATCCTCTAATGAACCACCGATTGCTTGGTAGAGTTCTCCCACATAGCGTCAAGGAATCAAAGCAATCCTGAGATCGTATGGCATAATGCAAAGTCGACATCTTTGTGATTCTCAATATGAAAATGCCCCTCTAGTCCACTCTCTTTTTACATCGCCAACTAGTTGGTTTACTCTTCCTTGACACTGACTTGATAGAAGTCAAGTCCTTTGTCTAAAAAAGAATGGTCTCAATCTTCTTCTTTCTTAGCATTATTGTAAACCATTTGTTCCTAGTCATCTTTCGTGGAAGGAGCTAGATGAGAGAGATTTCGCTTTTCTTACCTTTAAATATATACTACTATTAGATTGCGTCCAACCACCTGATCGATGAAGACTCGAACCTAATCACCCTAATTTTGGAGATGACAAAGACTTTACTCGACGTCTTGACCTATCCATAGTCTGCCAATCTAATTCCAACGTCTTTAATCCTGACAAGCTCGTCTCATACGAGATCTCTGTCTTTTGTTTGTTGCACAACACTGAATGTATAGTTCTTTTGTTCTTTTGGCTATGGTTCTTTCAATTCTTCTTGCTAACTTTTTGATTTATGGTCTGGCCTTTTTCAACCATGATACTCTACCTGTATCTAAATACAAGCCTTGTTCAACTGTGCCCACGGACCAGTAAGCCCTCGAGGCAAGGCAAAATGGGAAAGATGCTTTGCTTTTCTTTGGTCTTGAACTCGCTCCCCACTCGAGAATGAATGTTGGAAACTCTTCGATGACATGTTCCCTTGAGTGCACAATTTTTTCTTAACAGCGCCTGTTTGGTACCAAGCTCTCTGAGGGCATTTCTTTATCCATTAATGCTAAATGGTAGTGAGTGTAGTCAGGAACGAAACGATCCTCAGTTGCTGAAAGAAGCCTTGTTCGATTTCCTGTTGAAGTGGGGATGGCTCACGTGCAACATAAGTTTTTCAAACCTAGGTTCATTCCACTTTCCATTGGACGAAGACAAAAAGAAAGATCTCTAATATGATGGTTTTTCAGGCATATAGAGAATGACATGATCATATAGCCTTCGTCCTCTCATCATCTGATTCTTGAAATGGAGAACAGAAGAATTGTTTGGGACTTACCC